TACCACATTAAAATCACCCCCACTATAACTGGGCAGTTCAAATTAGAAATGACATTACCTAGGAGCTTGAAAAATTCATATCTTTCAGATTGATAATTCGATCCATAAACATTGACAATGCCAATCTCAGACCTGTTATAAATCAAACTGCCTTTAAGAGCTACAATTCTCCTAAGGCAAACATTACTGGTCATCTCAAAAGTATTACGATCCCATAGTGCAATAAGACCTCCTGAAGCGCCTTATGCAGGCACAAAAATCAGCTCCCTACAAGATCTACCTTTAAGTTTATGTTCAACATAACCAGAAATCTCATTCACTTTTGATTCCTATAATAGAACTATACTTGGATTGTTTAACTCTAACACCAGAGTAATAGCTCTAAGCTTAATACTCATCCTCAACCCTCTAATATTCCAGCTCAAAATAGAAAAATTTGAATCCATATAATTTCAAACACACACCAGAGAGATTCAGTAGTAAATAGACCCATTCATTACTTACCCACGAACTCATTCTGCTCCAATCTTTGAAGCACAACCTCTCTCGACGCGGAGAAAACAACGCCCAAAGCCTCGCCGACACCCAACGTTTCCACTGCTTCAATTTGTGAACCCGGCCGACCAACAAGTAACTCGCCCGTATAAAAACCACGACCAGTCACACCCCTTCTGCCATTTTGAAGCTTGACTCGCTTTCTCGTACTCTTCTTCTTCCTTTTCGGAACGTTGCTCTTCATACCCATTCTGTTCATAGCCACAGACTCCCCTACATCAGTACTTGTACGCAAATCATGTAATTTTGATTTGGAAATTTCCTGGTTAAGCATCAAGAGTTGAGCAATATACCTTTCAGGAGATTTAGATAAAAGCCTCTCATCCACAACTCTAATTGACGAAACCTCTTTAATCGGTATATCCAACAACCTTGAGCTGTTAGATAATGTCTGAGCCTGCCATAATCGTTCAACCTCTCTATTTAAAACCATAAGGCCAACACTATCATCAGCTGCCTGGATTTTAGGCCCATCATTAGAAATAATCGGTACCTCATGCAAATTATATTCAAAGGCCACACTCATTTCCACCTCAGTAACCACGTGCCCCCTACTAGCTGCCACTAAAACATTCTCAGTGTCGCTCCTCTGACAGGTCGAAACATACATAGCTCCCCCATTACAATCTGTCTAGAGACCAACTCCAGCAGCCCATTCCTCTTCGATTAGAGGGCCGACACCCGCTACCTTAGCATCTGAACGCCACGCTCCGCCACCAGCTAGCGATCCATCAATAAACACACGAGTCTCTTCCTGAACTTCTGTTGAGATTTTAATGGAGTATAATCTACCATTGTAAACAATAAATGCTTTATCTGGTATATCCGAAACATATTGAACTTCCAACAAGATCTTTGCTACGTCGAACCTTAACCGATTACAGGTGTCTTCGTCAACCAGTAGAACTTTACCCCACAAGCTTCCCAAATCCATGAAAAATTTCTCACTCCAACTGCTAGAGGAACATCCGACAAAAAAACCCAAACTTTAATTCTAACTTTGTTTTCATAGCCTTCCAGCATTTCAAGTTCATCAAACCAACGATGAACCCAAAACTCTCTATTAGACCAGTATTCCAGTCGATCATTTTCATTTCTGAACTCAATAACAACTAGTAGCTCATGCCAAACGCTAACCTTCACGACTAACCCTTCAGCACTGAATGCTGAGAGAATAATGTCTTCATTGTACATGTTTTTAATTTTCCCTACCAGACAAGATTTTCTCCATGAAACCTTCTTCTCCAATATGCGAATATTAGAACTTTTCTTAGCGTTTTTAAACATTGGCCATGGATCTATTCCTTCAACAATCGAAACGTGAATAACGTTATCATGTCCAGAAGGATTAGAGTGCTGAAAATGATCAACAACCTCAACTGCCCTTCCTTTAACATTCTGCAACCCACCAAGCACTTCCTTATAAGACCTGTAATCCCTTAACGACGGCTTCCACACTTTTTTTATATAAATCCTCCTACCTCAGACCTCTTGTTATTTGCTACTCCCATGTTGTCATGAAAGACTCTAATCTTAAAGCCATTCATGATCCTACCATCTGCCCTACGGACTGCTGTATCTGCTTCGGATTTGCTTCTAAACCTTACAAAAGCAAAGGTAGAATCGACTGTAAGTCTTCTTCTACTTCTGTACGCTATAAACACATCGGACACGGCTCTGTAAGCCTGAAATGCCTTATTGAGAGTATCACGATGAATCCTTTTGCTCACATTGTTGACAAACACAATATAACATTTCGAAACTTGATCACGCCTCACCATCACGACAGATGCCCTTATGTTACCTTCTCTTGTTGCACCTATGATTCTATCATGTTTAAGTGATCATGTCACCATATTCATACCATAGGGTACATGTTGGCGATTTATAAAGTAAAATCATGCCACTTTGTCCTTGTATTTTTACTATACCAAAGGTGTTACACATATCCATGCGATCTTTTACATTGTATGCTTATTTCAACTGATGATAAAATTATTATTATTAGTAGTAGGATAACTTATGATCACTTAATTATTAATTTTATTTTAATACTTGATCTTTTAATTTTGTCAATCAAACCATCTAACTATTTAATTGTTATCAATCAAATCATTAATCATTAATATTTGACAGAAATATTGACATAACAATTAACAAAATTTACATAGTAATATATTTGGTCATTATTATTTTTATATTCTATTAATTTAGTCTTAATTTAATTTAATTAAAAAATTAATCTTTTAGTATATGATGACACATGTCACAATAACTTGTTGGCATATGTCACAATAACTTGTTGGCATGTGTCACAATAATCTCTGGACATGTGTCACCTCTTGATTGGAGGATTAATTTTTTGAATTGAATTAAATTAAAATTAAGACTAAATTAATATGTAAATAATGAGGACCTAATGTGTAGTTATATTAATTTGATTAATTGCCACGACAACATCTGTGTTAAGTATTAATGATCAATCATTTGATTGACAATAATTAAATAATAATATAATCTAAATGAAAAATTAAAAATTAAAAATGGATAATGAAAAGGAAAAATAACTATGTTATTATACGTATAGTTTACTCTTATTATTATTAACCCAGGCAAAAAAATCCGAATAATTAAAAAATAGAAATCGTCATTTAGATTCCTAAACCTAACCATATTCTTGTCTTCACCACAGGTTTACCAGGTTACTTTTCCTTCCTCTAGGAATCTATTCACTATTTGGAATTAAAAAAAAAAAAACAATTTTCTTTTGCAAATTCTTCTCTTTGAATCGTCCGTTTGCCAAATCTTATTCCATTCTAACCTTGGACCAATTCAACAATCAAACCCGACCTTTCCATCAGTCAACACATGATACCCTCTTTTAAGCACATATGCACCCACATCTTTTAATTATTATAAAGCAGAACAACAACGCAACGTTTATTTAAAGAACTATTTTAATTTTTATGTCTTTTATAAATATTTTAATCTCTAATTTTTTATTTTAAAATAAAAATATTTCATAGAAGTAAACCGTTAGTTAACAAATGATCAAGGCTCCAAAATAATAGACTTTTTTTGCCCTAAAATAAAATGGCAGGAGTTAAAAAAAGAGAGCTAAAGTAACTATTTAGCAAAACGTTAAAGACTTCTTTCCCCTACAATATGTGATCAAAATGCTCGAAAAAATATGAACTAAATTAATTATTTAATTAAACATTGAGGGTAGGGGTCAACATTCAATTGAGTCAAGTCAAAAAATTGAGTTATTTAAATTCATTAGTACTGTTTTATAACTCAAACTTGATTTTAATTTTTTTCAAGTTGAGTCGAATTTATAAAATTTGACTCAAGTCGAGTTGTTCAAGTTTTTATTTAAATTTAATTGTAAGTATTTATAATATTATGATACTATTGATTCCAATTTAAACAATTTTCTATAATCATATACAAGAAATATATATTTTTCATATTTTTTATATGTGACAAAAAATATACATATATATGTCATACATAGTTGAGAAACTCAACTCAAACTTGACAATCAATCTATTAATTACTAAAAATTTCAAGATATTCAAATTCTATCTTATAACTCGACTTGAATGAGAAGTTGAGTTTATGAAATTGTAATTCGAAATTAATTCAAGACTAGTATTTTCTAGTCCAATCGGTCAAAATAATCGATTTTTCGGGTCGAATTTTGCTCATCCTAAGTGTTCTTTTTCACATCACACCTTGTTATAACTTTAAAAGTAAATATACTCATGAAACCAAAAAACATATGCTTTGGATTGCCGCTCAAAACATGAACTCTCTCTCTCATTGCTCGTGTGAGAAGGCTAATTGTTCAAATACTACATCTTGGTTCTTAATCAAGCAAAGAATTGAGTGAAAAAGAAAAGATCCAAATCATGCGATGAACTTGGAAGACAAGTCTTAAACAAGCAAAGAATTGAGTGAAAAAGAAAAGATCCAAATCATGCGATGAACTTAGAAGACAAGTAGAGCTTTATCATACTTACCCTTTTGTCAAACACAAATGGGCTGCAGACGTTAGCTAGGTTTCTCATTTAAGCCATCCGAAAACGAATCAATGGCGTAGACGTTTAGTCCTCTTGTCCGACCAGAAGCCCCTCCTTTTAGCGACAACACGTCGAGGACAATCCTGGATAAACCACAAATACTTAGTCAAGGACCAAATCAAGTCATGATCTAGCATTTAAAAGGGGGAAATATCAAAGATGAACTTACAAGTTCTTCAATGCCGTCCCTAGTTCTGGGGTCTCACAATTAATGAGGATCTTGTATCCATTTTGGACAACGAATGGTTCGAAGGCAGATCAATCCCTCTCGGTGCTGAATGACATTTAAAATAAATTACTTTCCATTTGCAATAATAAAATGTAATGGGGAAAATAATAATCTTAATGCAACATTCTTACATGGCTTATTAGTTGGTGCACTTCCATCCAGCTCTATGAGTTTCTATATTGAAACGAATTCATCAGATCATGACAAAAGAAACTTAATCCTCTGTAAAAGAATTTCTGAAGAACTTAAGATGCATATAACATGGTTGAAGGGAAAGGGAAGTCACTTTCAGATTCTCATAACACTCCTCGAGATTATCGTTATATAGTATATGATCAAAGATGCCAGACAATTTCCCTTGCTCAATTTCTGCTTCTGCATTCCGGAGCCGCTTTAGGATTTGCTCCTCTGTCTCAGTTCTTCTATTTACAGCATTCTAATTATGACAAGACTAGGTTGACAGTATGGTGATAAATATCAGATGGACAGTACTGATTCACCTTGCATGGAGCCGCTCTTAAAACTCTGTCATCGAAGGAGGGCAGATAAAAATGAAAATGGCATCAAGAGAACTTGCCTTCACAGACCTTGCTCTTGAACATCGATGTCAAGAATGCACCTCTATAGTGAAATTTAAAATGATTTAAAATAAAAACACATTCAATTGAGGAGAAAGGTAATATTATCTAAAGGTCCAAAATTCAGTACTGAAGTCTGAAACATATTTCAGTCCTACCTACAAGATATTATCTAAAGGTCATCAAGTTACCTGAATTATATACAAGTGGCATAATATACCTTTGCTAAAGTATGCAAGGAGATCATCAGCATATCATTAATTGTTAAAAAGAGCTGGCAGATGTGAATATAATTTCATGAGATCTGATATGCCAAAGTGTTCCCATAAGAAAGCAAGCTATCTTTGTGAACTGATTCAATTATATTAGGATTTTAAACTACTGGGTTTTCCATTTGGTACTATAACTACTATTAAGAGAACCGTAATATGTACAGTTTACCTTCCCAGAGTCACCTACTGCCTCAACAGCTTCAATACTGGTTCCATATATATTCCCATGTACAGAAGCAAACTCGAGAAATTTCCCATCTTTTATATCGTTCTCCATTACACTTCGAGCAGTGAAATGGTAGTGAACTCCATTGTTCTCATTGCCCCTTGGTGCACAGGTTGTGCGGATGACAGAGAACCCAAACATGGATGGGAATTCCTTCATAAGCATGTTTATTAACGTCCCCTTACGAACTCCAGAAGGACCACTGATAACAAGTGGCTTCTCAGCGTCACCTCTCATATCCTTACTCCAGGCAACAACTTCAGTTCCCAAATCCTTTTTCTGTTCCTTAACATACTTGGTGTCCACCTACCAATATTTGAACAGATCTTAAGTTTTCAGGAATACCACCTCAAGAAACCACATGCAGTCATCTGGGGTTGAACCCGTAATAATAATCATTATTCGATCTCCATTCAAAAGGATGGCTGAATGGCCTTTACAGGGCTTTGGTTTTGTTCCCGGAACTGTGGGAATCACCCTGAAAATAATACCAGAAACAGAACTCATAACTCTAAACCGAAACTCTGAAGAAGAAGAAACTTTATTAGCTTGGTTTAGCCAAAAGCTAACCATTTGTCTGTAGATTTGTCATCAATCTGAACCCTAATATATGATGTAGAATCATGGTTTGCCCCACCAATCACATACTGCCAAGAGATACAAACACAAATCCTCAGTCAAAAAGGATGATTGGACATATTAACTAAGAGATAACAAGTACCAACCGGTGACAAAGAGAAGCACTTTATAGGGAAAAAACAAACAAATTAAGCATTAAATTATCATACTGTTCTATCACCAACACGGGCAGAGGTCTCAAAGCCTTTCGATTTGAAACGAAATCCATTTTGGAGATTGTCAAAACAGAATGCTGGGGCTTAACCCTGATGATTATAAACCAAAACCAAATCAAATCACAATAAAACTACTAATGATTAGGTGAACTAAAACTCTTAATTAATTGCCACAAAATGTCCTCCCCCCCCCCCCCCCTTTTTATGGACAAGTGAATAAGAGCAATTTCCATCCAAATGAATTTATATTACACAAGACAAATCGATGTTTAATGGCTCACCACCGAGAACCAATGCCTCCAATACAAGATTCTCCTGATCAATAAACATGGAAACATAAAAGAGATCAAACCAAAAGAATTTATATTTCTCAGATCTATCAAACAATGTAAACCAAATGCACTGAAATGAAAGATACCGTCTATTGCATAGAATCTATGTAATTACATGTCTGAATCTAAAAAAAAAACAATGTAACTACATGTCAAACAAGAACAAAAATAAACGTAAAATTAAAAAGAACCAAATTTTGAGAGGTACAACTATTAGAAGCCCAAAAATCAAAACTCAGATTCAAATCGAACATTACAATGCATAACATAGAAGAATAAACAGGCAGGGAAAAAGAAACAACAAGAGAGGGAAACAAGCTACAAAATCAAGTTTCAGTTGGTTTTTATGTTTCAAACCCGAATACAATGAAATAAAAAGGAAAAAAAAAATCAACAAAACACCTTAAAATATCAATATGTGATAATGAACAGAGCTATGACTTTTGAAGAAAAGAAAGCTGGAAAAGAGAAATAAACAGATTTGTTAGACAGCAACTTCACACCTTCGATAAGAGGCAAAAAAAAAAAAGGATCTTCAGAAGGGGAAATAATCGAAGTGTTTAAATTGGTTAGGCAGAAGGTAATTGCAAAAGTGTTAAATATTTGAATGGAATAAGAGGCAAAGGGGTTTTGCTTAAGCTTTCGTGGTCCTTTTAAGACAGAAATATAGTCGAGTTAGGAGGGTGTCAAATCAGAACAAACTTAGGATTTAAAAAAGAACAGGTAAATATGATGAATAAGCAGCAGCTGGTTTGAAAGAAATTATAAGATTTATGAACACACATTGTATGCATTTTATATTTGAGGGAAATAGTTTTTTTAAGTAGTAATATTTTTTTTATAAGTTATGCATTTAGTATTTAAATTATAATTGTTGATCCGTTTTAATATCTAAATTTTTAATTTTTTTATAAAATTATACATAACGTTTAGTTTTTATTCATTTTATTGTCACACCATTAAAAACTTAATGAGATTTTTCCACGTGATTTTTTATGGATAAATTACATTATTTATCAATTAGTTATATTCACGCTCATATTTTGGTCATTAAAATTTAAAATTTTTTAATTTAACTGCTCAACCTTTAATTTGCTAATGTTTTAATCCCTCAAATTTATTTTATTAATAATATTTTGTGACATGATATTTTTATTATTTTATTAATAACATAATTAAAATAAAAAATAAAATTGAAAGTTAGAATGATTAAATTATGAGTAATTTGAAAGTTAAGTAATTAAATTTAAAAAATAAACTTCAATTACAAAAATAGGAGTGAGAAGATAGTTGAGTAATGAATGATGTAACTTACCGATAAAAAAGTGCCAAGTTGTAATAGTTATGCTAAATTTTTAACGGTGTGGTACTAAAATGAAACAAAAACTAAACGTTACGTATGGTTTTGAAAAAAATTGAAAGTTTAGATACTAAAATGGATCGAAACTTATAGTTTAAGCACTAAATGCATAATTTACCCTATTTTTGAGTAACACAAATGATCATTGACTATATGATATTGCTACGTTGAGTCTCTTAACTATTAAAAGTTATAAAGTGGTCATCCGACTGTAGAATGTTGTTTTGTTGAGTATTTCGACTATTAAAAGTTACAAAATGGACACAAGACTATTCATATGTTCCAAATGTGTTCTTTTCTATTATAAATTTGATGGTAATTTGAGTTGGACGTTAACCTACTAACTGAGAAATATAATAAAATCTGATATTAGAATCTCAAACGACCATCATATCATAATCAACATATTAACGTCCAACTCATTCGACAATCAACTTTTTAAATGATGAGTTTTGAACATATAAATAATCGGGTGACTATTTTATAACTTTTAATAGTGAAATAACTCAAAAAAATAATATTCTATATTTAAAAGATTATTTTATAACTTTTAATAATAATAGTAATTAACCCAAAAAAAATGACGTAAACAGCCGAAACAATTTGTAAAATAACAGTTAAAGTGTTGATATATAATAAAAACAATTTTATAAAAAGAACTTTTTACTAAAATGACATAATATCCGGAAAATGCTTCACGTAGAAAGTTCCTTTTATTACCAAAAATCACACCAATTTCACAAGTTAGCGATTTGGAGTTTTAATTATTATATTATTAAATTAAAGGTTTAAATTAAAAATTATCCTGAAATATTTCATTGTTTGAATTTTAGTCCATAATGTTTTTATCAAAATAAATCATCGAGTTATAAATTCAAACCCTAAATCACTAACATTCAAACAATTAACACAAAAAGATCCATAAAGTATTTATTTTTTTGAATTTAGTCCTTAACATATTCTTTTATCAAAATAAATTCGTAATGGAAAAAATAGAGCTCTAAACAGCAAACCCATTCATGCATTATAGTAGTAGGTTTTAAGAGTTAAATGAAATAAAAGAGTTGGTGTTCATAGTTTGACTAAGTTAGTGTTCATATTGAAATACCTACATTTACTACCACTCCAGTCTCATAAAAGGATTAGGATTTAGGGTTATAATGTTTAATTATTTTCTAACTCATTCAATTTTTGAATTTGGTGTTCACACTGGAATACGTAAGGGCTCCTATTTAAAACTAAGAAAGTTAACTCGGCAGACTATGAAAGCCCAAGCGAAAGAGTCCTAAGTAATTGCTTGCAAGCGTTAAAATTATACATATTCCCAATCAATAACAAGCTTAGCAAATGAACCATGTGTCAGGCCCCGCGTGACCAAGCTCGAAATATATGCGCCAGAGTTGATGATAGAGGTTCTAAAGGACATATTGGGCATGACCAGTCTGTCAGACTTGACCCAAAACGTGAAGGGTTCAAAAGAGCCCGAGCCTGTTCACACTGACCATACAAACAATGAAATCCACATTTTATCAGATTGTGTCTACATAGGCAGCGCAAATATGAAAAGAGACAACAAATCAGAAATTATTGTGGGAGAATCTTACCATATCAAGTGTGAACAGCCATCCAAGTCAAGAATCAGACTTATTGATGTCATAAGAGTGGAAGCTTGGGTGTATTCCCTTAAAAAGGGGGATTTGATTAGATGGTGATTGATGGAGTTTCCTTATATACATAGATTTGTAATTAATAGGGCTCATCTTAGCCATTGATCTAGTTTGATCTTAGATGTCCATTGTAAGGGGATTCAACTATAAATAGAGGCCTCCCCACCTCATTTGTACACACTTCAATTTTTACTTCATTTGAGTAATAAAGTGCATTCACTCAATTCTCTCTTATTGTTCTTTGAGAGGCATCTCCTTTCAAGAGTTTGTCCTTTTGCGTTTTTACTAAGTGTTCTTACTTAGTGTTTTCAGACTGACTTATTCGCCAAACCGACCAAGAAGCGCTCCAAGGTGACTAAGGTCGTGCGCTCTGGAGTTGGAATCTCCAAGGGCGTGACACATGCCTAGGGATGGGGATTGGACCCGGATCCGATGGGTTCCGACCTAACTCGACATGATAGGATCTGGTTTTTCCTTTTAAAATTCGAGTTTGGGTCGGGTCAAATTTTTAGAGGGGGTTATCGGGTTCAAATTAAACATAAAAAAATATTCGACTTGATCTGACCCGAAATATATTATATTTATATACATTTAATATATTTATAAAAATGTCACACTCTCTCTATATATTAAGGTTTCTTTTTTGTCATTTTCATTTTTACTCTTGTGCTGCCTTTCAAACCATCTCTCTCTTCATCTTCCTTAGTTTTTTTTACTCCCTTTGCTGTGGGTTTTTTCTCTTTATCTTCCTTAGTTTTTTTTTTTTTTGCTTTCCTTTGCTATGCTTATGTGTATTTTATCTCTTCATCTTCCTTTGTTCATATATTTCATTTCTTTTAAGTTTTCAATTATTTTTTCATTCAATATGGAATTTTAAAACTTAGAAACTAAAATCTTTGATTTCAAATCCAAAATATAGTAATTCAATCGAAGTGGTAGTTATAGAATTTAAACAAAGTTATGGATTCAAGCATAAGGATTTTTTTATAAAAATCATTTTATGTTATTTTTGAATTTAAATTCAAATTGATGAATGTTTAGGAATATTTTTGAAACCATGAATTTCTAATGACTTAAATATGTTGAGTTTTTCTTTATTTTTCATTTTGAATGAACTCTGGGTTGAATCAATTTTTTTATTATTATTCTTCATTTTGAATGAACCTAATTTCTGGGTTGAATCATTTTTTTGTTTATTCATTTAAAGAACCCTAATTTTTGGGTTTAATCAGATGGTTTAGAATAGTTATTGAATATCAGGTCAGATTGGGTCAGTTTTTACATAAAAAATCGGGTCGAATATATTTTTCTAAAGCCTGGTCGAATTTCAGATAGAATAATATATTAATTAGGTCGAAGTCGGGGTGATAAAAAATCTGAGCCGACCTGACTCAAGCCATCCCAAACCATGTTATCCCTTTATGAACCATTGTATCATATTATGTGTTCATCATATGATATGAAAAAAAATATCAATTCGTATCACTATATGACGCTTTTTCGAAAAAGTTATACCCACCAGTACAATTAGGTGCCTCCAAAAACATTGTTCTATGTCGTAACATGCCATTTGGTTTGCCTAATGGACCTACGACATTCATGGACTTGATGAACCGAGTATTCCAACCATACTTGGATCAATTCGATATTTATAGATGATATCTTGGTATATTCCAAGTCAAGAGAGGAACATGATGCTCATCTTTGAGTAGTTCTTCAGACACTCCGCGAGAAGAAGTTGTATGCCAATTTGTCAAAGTGTGAATTTTGGTTAGCCGAAGTTACTTTTCTTGGTCACATAGTCTCTACAGAAGGCATAAGAGTAGATCCAAGAAAGATCCAAGCTATAGTAGATTGGCAACCTCCAAAGAATGTTTCTGAGGTTCGAAGTTTCTTGGGACTTGCTGGTTATTATAGACAGTTTGTGAAGAACTTCTCAATGTTAGCTTTGCCACTAACTAAATTTTTACG